CTGTTTCCTAGGGACTCACATCCCCTGCCCCAGCATCCTCCACATGCAGTGCACCCCCTGCCCACAAATCACCCTGGGGGTTCCCAGTGAAGGAGAAGGAGCACCCCATCTGTGCCCTCCATTGCTGTTGGTGACCTCCAGGAATGCTGTGCCAACCTGACGGCTCAAAGGTGCCTCAGGTGCAAAAAAGAGGAAGGGTGGTGTCTAGAGCACTGAGAGTCCACTGTCCTTGTCCACAGCTTCCTGACCCCCAACGCCCAGCGGTGGTCAGGGTGGAGAGGGCTTGAAGAATCTGATGAGGGCGACATTCTGCCTCCCCCCGGGCTCCCTGCTAGCACCTTTCAGAGGACACACTCTTAAGGTTCAGCTCATTGCCATCCCAGCCACCCGGGGGTAGTGGGGCACCCTCAGCAGGCAGGGCTGCCCACAGAACATTATGGGGGTTCCCGACCAAGGAGACGGACAGTCCTCTGCACCCTCCATTAACTTAATAAGCCCTGGGGACTGTAGTGGAAACCTGACAGCTCACAGGGGCCTCGGAGGCCAAAGGGGAAGGAGATGGTGTTTGGGGTTCTGGGACTCCACTGTCCCTGCCCATAGTCCCCTGACCCAACACCCAGGGCCACTCAGCAGGGTGAGGGTGGACTGAATGATCTAGTGAGGATGACCTGGTCCCTACGCCTGGGCTTGCCACTCCCAGACGATACACTCTCATAGGTCTCTCATCACCTCCCCAACACCCTATCGTCAGGCTACTGGGACTCTGAGGCTGTGTGAGGTGCGGGGCTCCCACGGCTAATCCGAGGGCCTAATTCTGCGGGGGGGGAGGCCTTAATCCTGAGTGAGGAGTCAATCAGTTGGTGACCCCACCTCCAGCCCCACCAGCACCCTGCACTCATCCTAGAGACTAGGAAGGTGCTGAGCTGGGTGTGAGTCCTCAATGTGGCCATGGGAAGCCTGTTTGGCCTGCCAAGACTGCTATCTGTATACTAGTCTTTACTGAAAGGCCCTCTCCTCCCTGAGACCTTCCCTGATTGCTGAATTTAAACTAGAGACTCCCCATTTCTGCTCAGCCTAGCCCCACCAGCTCAACCTGTAAACTCTTTCTGAGTTTCTTGTTCATGGCCTGCCCCGCCCCCTTCGCAAACTCTTGGGCCCCGCGTTCTGTCTCCAAGGCGGCAGGGGGAAAGCTCACAGGCTCCTGGGCCAGCGCCCACTCGCTCACTCACTCGCTCAGCACTGACTTTGCACGTCCATCACTGGCCGGGCCGTGCAGGGCACCAGAGTCATCAGGATGAAAGGAGAAGAGGGCTGGAGTGGGGGCTCTAGCCTATGACTCGTCCTATGTCTCCCGCCACCTATCCACGCTCACTCACTCGCTCAGCACTGACTTTGCACGTCCATCACTGGCCGGGCCGTGCCAGGGCACCAGAGTCATCAGGATGAAAGGAGAAGAGGGCTGGAGTTGGGGCTCTAGCCTATGACTCGTTCCAGAGCCCCATCTCGGGCTGTCCCCTGCCACCTATCAACCCCCTTTCAGCCCCAGGCCCACATCTAAGCCACATGGCAGGAGCTCACATAGCAGGCAGTATGTCACCGGGGGCTCTGAAGGATGAATAGGGGCCTGTGGGAGACATGACTGCACTTCCTGAGAAATGGAGTCGGTAGAGCAATGCCACAGAAAAGTGCTAGGGGCCCACTCCTGGCGAGGTGTGGGGGTAGATGTGATGCCATGTCCTACCCAGGGAGGGAGGCTGAAGACATCAGGCCTGTCCTACTCTCAGGGCACTTTGTGCAGTCGCCAGAGGGCGTGGGGGCACCAGAGTGTCCAAACCTGCACTGATGGGCTCCGACCTCACCAGGTGGGGCTGCTGAGAAGTGAGGGCAGGGCTGGAGGGCATGGAGGGAGGGTGAGTATAGGACTGCCAAGGAGGAATCTCCAGCACTCCGTCTCCAGGTGCCATGGTGGAGGGTACAGGGTGCACAGAGAAGCCAGAGACTCCGAGGGCTCGTGCCTGGGGTGAGGAGGACAGGGATGGAAGCAAGAGAGGGATGCCAGAAGCCAGGGACTTCCCAGAGGGTGAGGCGTCTGCCAGGAAGCCCAGCCTGTTTCTGTTTCTCAGAGCAGAACGCAGTACGCCCAGGTCTCCAGCCCTCACCCTCCAGTCTCCAGGTCAGGGTGCAGCTGCTTCTGAGACTTCTCAAGACCTTGGCCCCCCACCTCAAGCCCTTGGACCCCCCACGGCCCTCAGCTCCTTCCTCTCAGCTCCTTCTCTGACAATGTCTCACCAGCACAGGAGCCTGGGAGCCTGTTGAGTTTCCTGCCTCCCTCTCCTTGCACCTCAGCTCCCTACTCCCACTGGGTCCAGAGTCTTCAAACCCTCTCCTAGCCACATGGACCCTACGCCTGGGCAGCCCCCACATGAAGCCCGTCATCCTCTCTGGCTCCCTCCGTCTCTGCAGTCTGCGCAGCACTGGGACCTTTCCCTGCTGCAGCTCACACCAGGGTCTCCCTCCCCGTGGTGCTCTGGTGCCTCTCACGGGCACTGCTCCTCCCCACCAGGGCGTGCCCCAGGATAGACACGCCCCTCCCGCTCATCTCCTGCCCTCTCCTGAAGCTTGACATACAGTGTCCTCTGCCTGGAATAGCTTGACAGACAGTGTCCTCTGCCTGGAATGTCCTCCTCGTTGCCCCCTCCCCCTTGACCCTACTGTAATAACAATAATAATAACCCACAGGCTCCCTGGTACATGCACTCCCTGATCCTTACAGCTGTCCAGGCTCTGTTAACCTCACCAAGATCCTAAGTTAGTGCCCTGGCAGAGCACTAGGTTCCACCAGCATCTCACCTTCCAGTGTGGACGCTGAGGCCCACAGCTGGCAGCCAGGCCCAGGGCACACCCACAGCAAGAGCAAAGCAGGGCCAGGTCTATGAGGTGGGCCCAGAGGCTGAGACACCTCTCTCATCGCCTCTGAGATCAGCTCAGGGAGAGCTCTGGGGTGCTGGTACGGGGGGCGGGATCCTCTTGTGCTTGATTCAATGGAGAAATGGACCCCCTGACCCAAAGAAAGAAACTCCACCCA